CCCATTTTTTTTTTTTTTTTTTGGGGACGGCTTCCACGATTCCGTGCAAATTCCCTGTGCAAATTCTCCATGATTCTCCGTATACATATATATATATATATATAGAGTTCACCTACAGGAAGGCGTGCAAGGAGAGGCGAGGGAAGGCATACAGTAAACGGTCGACGGTTGACAGGGACTGGGACAAATGGATGGGAGAGTGTAAACGCAGACAGGGGTGCACACGGTCGGGCAGACAGGCGGTGGGCAAACTTTCTTCGGCACCCCGTGCGCTATGGAATCGGGACGATTTTTCCTCATCTCCTTCATCTTGGCCAACAATTCTTGGGCGCGTGCCATCTTCCCATAGAAATCGAGCTCGTCGCGCTTCCGTTTCTTCTTCTTCTTCGTTTGCGTCGCCTCCTCGACGGGCTTCTCGACCCGCTCGCAACGGCAGATCAAATTGTCCGGATGGAGGGGTGGGATGATGGTCAAGCTCCCCCAACAGAACGATTCCAGGTCCATGGTGTTCAACTCGCGGAATTGGTATCTGTAATGCTCGTCCGTCTCCTCGCGCGCGTAGAACGCTTTCTGTATGCTCGTCGGGGAGTGTATCTCGGTTATGATGCATTTGCCCAGATAACTGATGCGTACGTAGAGCTCGACCGTCGCCTCGGTCTTGTCCAAATTCTCGTCGAACAGGTTGAACTTGCCTTGCGTCGATCTGAACGATTAATGCGTAATTTTTTTTTTTTTTATTATTATTTTTTTCAACCACGTCGAAAAGGATTTTCACGAGCAGAGGTCGTGAACCGTATTAACAAGCGTTTCTCGGATAACGGTGAAAAATTATCTCTTAATTTATGTCTCGGTAATTCGTGTATTATACTTGAAAAGGAGTTCTACCGTTTCAAATTTCGTTTACGCTTGTAATACAATTTCTGCTCTAATCTTTTTAAACAGATTCCGGCAAATTTTATTTATAAATCGAAATAAGAAGTAAATTATTTCGAACGAATTTATATTTTATATTTCTGCCGAAAGAAATATCCTCGGAATAATTATTAACCGAAATAAAATTCGTATTATACATTCTATCGCAAAAAAAGGAAGAGAGAGAAAAACAGACTTCGTTTCCATCAGAACCGCGAATCCACCAAGTGGAATATTATTTAAAATAATATTCCAAGTTATTTTAAATTATTTCCCGCGATCATTTCGGAGAATTATAATAAACGAATAACATCAATTATCCGAAATAATCGTCATTTCAAATCTAGTTAGCCTGTCTAGATTTCAACGAGCGAAAAATATTCCGACCTCCTGTTTCGAGGAGACAGGTGTTTTAACGAGATTAACAAGAAGCAAACACGGACAAGAGATTACCCTTTTTTTTTTTTTTTTTTCACCGAAAGAGAAGGAGATTTCGGCCGATACGGGTCGGAACAAACGGACGGTTCCCGATACAAAACGAGGCAGGGAACCGAGTCCGACTGGTACAGCAGTTTTTTAAATTACGTTCAGCCGGGGAGCCTAACATTTGCCGTCCGGGTAATCCGTTTCGCCGGCGGATTTGCATAAACGCCAGGTCCGCGTATTTAAATGCATTCACCTTGATATAGGTTCCCGCTCCAAATCGTTGGAAAAATAACCCTCGAGCTCCTTCCTCTCGTTGAGGTCCTTGATAATTCCGTTAAACAGGTCGTCCATCCTTATGAGAGTGAATCCGAAATTACGGCGCGACTCGAGCTCGAAATACTTGGATATACCCTTGTACACGTAAAGCTGCAGATCCACCCCCGACATACTCTCCTCGAGCATGGATTCCGGGACGGAGAACAGGACGGATCTGCCTCCGTAGAATTTCTCGTTCTCGTAATTGGAGCCACGATAAGAATGGTAGTCGGATCGATTCGGGGACAACGTTGTCCATTCCTCGTCCAACAATCGAAACATTATCACGGTTTTCTTCATNTATATATATATATATATATATATATATTCGAATTTATATATATCCGAGTCGAAAATATAGGTTAAACATGGATTGAGCGATTTTTTTTTTGTATTGCCGACCGAGGATGTGTGTATATATGTATGTATATATATTACAAGTAAATATCGCTTTTTGTTGAAAATTTATTTGGAAAGAGAGAGTTTTGTAGGTTTTTCAACGAGTGGTATCTATCTGGTGTAAAGTGCTCCTCTTGGTCATTCCATGTTTTAAAAATACAGATTTTCAGAGAGAGAAGTGGAAGCGAAGAGGGATGATACTTTTTAATACTATATGATGTATCTTTACGCTCTTACGTGACTGCCGGCCCGCGTATACATTACGTGACTACCTCGGTGTGTGTTAAGTTTAAAAGTTTCATATCGGGTAATCGTATGTAGATACGTACAGAGAGAAACCGCGCGTTTATATATGTTTAAAGAATCTTACTGTGTTTAGTAAAACGATCTTACACGATTCGTACACTCTCATAATTATTTGCGACACCTCTTTAATTGCAACGTGAAATCATTAATGAATTCCATTTAATTTTATGTATTTATTTTGCACCGCGTTCGATATTTATCTTGTTGATAATTAAATAAGAATTAAATAAACTCGCTAATGACGATAAGAAATGATTAAATTTTGTGTTTCGCCTATATTTTTGTATATTCGATATAATTTCCAATTAATTTTTTTCGTTACTTTGTAACCAATACTTTTCTAATTTTGTTTGTAAAACTTTGCATACATATATGAAGACATTTTGTATAATACTTTTAATTATTCAAAGGATTGACATTGTACACGAAAAAAAAATGGAATTTAGCAACCATCTGTTTAAAATTGAACAATAATTTATCCCATGCGTCAATCTTTCGTTAAAAATGACGAATGTCCCAATGTTTTCAAACGTCAATATACACTCGTGTTGCGAAATCCTACTTTTACTTATCATTAAAACTGTAAAAAAAAAAAAAGAGAGAGAGAAAAAAGAAGATAGAAAAGAAGATAACGAGGAAATAAAATATCTAAGTGAAATATGACGATATATAAATGCAATAATTACTCACATTTTTTACAGCCATTTCCAACAACATGATCTGCGAATTGTGCATTACAATCAAAGAGGACATTGCGCTTCCGTATTATGTTATACGTGTTATCCGTTTTATATACTCCTTTCAACGAGTCCGCGTCAAGTTCTTGGAAAGTTTGATTTATCGTCGATAAAGCGTCAAGAAGATTCTGAAAAATTTTTCCTTGTTACAAACTATTTCTATATGTGAATCGCGGAGTTTGAGGTTGGAGCGTGTCGCGCTTTCCAATTCTGCGACATCGCTACCCCCTCGAACCCCCCGCCGCCCCCTTCATCGCTATGGTTCCACGGTATCGGTGCGCTTCTTTCGAGAAAATAAATTTTATCCAGTACCAACTGTCCGCCAACTTCATTTCCCTGCGCTCGGAACAATGCGAACGAACAAACTTGCAGTCTATTCTAATTCGTATTCGGATATTCATATATATTTATACGGGATATGCTGATGATACAATCAGGAGAGTGGGGAAAAAAAACAAATCGAATAGAATTTTCTTCGAATTTTAAAAATAAGTTTGAAGATTTTTCAAACACCAGTGACATTGATTAATTTTCGATATATTTGAATAAATTATCGATAAGTTTAAGTTAAGTGAAAGTAAGCAAATAATGTGGAATAAAATGTTAATAACTTTTTTTCGTTATTTTTTTTTTTTAAATCAAATTTTCAAATTTGAAAAACTTTTTCGAAAAAGATTTATTCTTTATTATATTTTCCATCAATGATTTACTCTAATATCTAATTTATTTTTTTCATTGAATAGAATCACTATCTATGATTATGGGTATCACGGGACTTCGTACATTACACATACAATATAAACGTTTTAACAGATAACTTCAAGGAAGTTTTATCGACTAAAAAGGAGATCAACCGAGGAAATAAATGGATTTTGTCAAAGGACTGGTAGGGAGGGGGAGAGTTGGAAAGACTTTGAAACCTCATCGATCTTTCAATCTTTAGTTCCTTTGGGTTCCTTTTTCCTTTTTTTTTTTTCTTCATCTTTATTCCCTCTCGACTTCCCTCCATTCTTCTCCCTTCTTTCATTCGATTAAGCGGACATAAATTTACGGTATCGATAACGGCTGACAGAAACAACGTCGGATTGTTCCGCCCTTTGCGCATCGTTGCTTGCAGCACGTTCAAAGTACTCAAGAACCAGTTTTTTTTTCTCATAGGTGAAAACGCCGTTAAAAATACGGGGGGAAGGGGAGAGCATCAGGCGTG